AACGTTTCACATTTTGTCAAACATCTTTTAAGACTTCATACGTATGTATTCCTTAGCGTAAATCATATGTAATGACTTCAAACCGTAGATTGACTTTCTTTCTTAAAGGGTATGTGCAATGAATCTTTCTCAGGAATTATTTTTGCGCAAATCTGTGAAATGTAAGAAAACTACACATTTGACAACACTTTTTGGGCTAATCTTATTGCAAATGTGCAATTCTTTAAGCATTTAAAAGTTTCCATGTTTATCCGGACTAACGCTGTTACTGTGATGTCATTTCAGGAAGACACTGTTCAGTTTAGGGTTTTTTCTTTCAAATTATTCATCCAAAAGTTGCTAATTGAAAACATTTGTGGGAAAGGGATGGTTATGGGATGACTTACTACCATGTACTGACACATCATATAATCACCACATAAAAGAAATTTATGACAGCAAAATATCCAAAATTCTAGCAACTTTTGCTGAAATAGCCGTGTAACATTAATCATGCTCGAAATGCCATCACAGGTTTTCTAAAGAATATGAAACTTTGCATTAGCATAAAAACAGAGAAGGCACCAAAACACTCCTCAAAATGGAAAATAAAACTTGCAAATACGGTTGAAAGTGACACAAAGATGTATTTTCAAGGTTTGCATTGAAAAGTTTGCAAGGGCCCTGTGAATATGGTAAGTGTTCGGTCATACATACGCAAGAAAACACTTAAAAAATAACGCAAGAGAAGTGTTCCCGACGGTTCAACCATTTCCAAACATATTACGCGTCCCGATGTCTTGCACGTCAAGAAATCGTCAACGTAAAAAAGCCCCTTGATCAAACGTTTAAACAAGTAGAAAAGATCAACAGTCCCTTTCAACTCATTATTTCGTTACATCTTGTTTCCCTCATATCAGTTGATTTGTAACATTGTAAATTTTACAGTCATCAAGATTTTTTTTTGGGGGGGGGGAATGAATCTCGGAGAAAAATAGGAAAAAAAATCGATTAAAAAATCTTACTAATTTAAATGATCAAACGATGAAAGCGACTGCCCATAAACGAATAAGAAACGAAAAGCATGGTTATACGTTATAAGCGCACAGATGTTCGCTAATTTGAATGCGTCAACCGTCAAAGGGTTGCAAAGACTTAATTTTAGACTGCTACAATTATTTAAGTCTTGAATGCACCAAAACGAAATAGGCTGCCAGAAAACGAAAAAGAACATTCACAGCAAAATCTTGGCTGCCTAAAAATGAAATTGAATGAACCCCAAATGAAAAAGAAACCCCCATTGGACCACATGTGCAAAACTCACGCGAAATTGAATGGCTGATAATGAAACTGATTAGAAAAATTCGGAAATTCGCCGGGAAAACCTATACTATTTTGTATTTTGCATAATATGTTTGCCCGGCTATTTTAACAGATTTTTCATTCACATTCACCAACTCATATATTCATTTTCGTCCACGAAAAATTTCACACACTTTTACAAAACCAATTTTGTCATTTACCATTTAATTTTAAAGTTTGGTCACCCTCTTCAGTCACCGGGTCGAGAATATTCGTCAGTTTAGATCAAATTCGTCAAAGCTGTTGCCGAATGTCAGCATTCAGAGATCGAATTCGTTTAGACGAATTTGATTTCTGAATAACAAGGTTTGGCGTAGACGAGACGAATACTCTGGAAGTCGAAACGTGTACTCATTGTTTGAATTTACTTGAACTAAATTTGAAATCGTCTGACAAAAGACGAAACTAAAATTTAAAAATTTGTATGCTCGGAATTTTCTGGGGAGGCCTGCCCGAATCGCCAAGACTGGATTTTATTCGTCTCGTCGATAGCGCCCTCTATACCTCTTGATGTCGTTCGGCTGCTTAGCGCGTATAGGCGTACACAAACATTACGTGCGTACACAAGTACAAACGTTATACAAATTCAGTCTCGGACCAAGACTATATTTCCTTGCATTTTCCACCGTTGTCGAGGTTGTTGTTGTTTAATTGATAGGATATTTTATCTATATGTATTTACTGTTTCTAATTTACGATTTTAAATATGCTTTAAATATATAGGTTTTCCCGACTATTTTAAAAGTGTTTTTCATTCAAATTCACGAACTCTAACATTTATTTTCGTCCGCGAAAAATTTCACACGCTTTTACTAAAACAAATTCATTTACCATTCAATTGTAAAGTTGGGTCACCATCTTAAGTCACTGGGCCGAGAAAATTCGTCAGTAGGAGTACAGATCAAACTTTCGTCTAAGCTGTTGCCGAATGGCAGCATTCTGAGATCAAATTCGTCTTTTATGAATCAATAAAACGAATTTGATTTCTGAATAACAAGGTCTAGATAGACAAGACGAAATCAAAGACTCCGGGACAAAAACGTGTACTCATTGTTTGAATTTGCTTGAACTGATTTTGAAATTGTCTGACAAAAGACGAAATTAAACATTGGAAGTGCACTGAATAGATGTTGATGGACGAATTTGAATATTAGAAACGGTGAATTCGAATGATAAACATTTGAATATAGTCGGGAAAACCTATATTAACTACAAACGAGGTCATTGGGTCTTCTGTATAAAACCAATCATATTGTTTTGACAAAGTTAGGCCGTCATGGAAGTTATATTAAATGCCCGATGCGCCTTAATTTGATTGGCCTCTAGGCTCCTTTTTTGACTGAATACCTGCTGTTCAAAACATTCCGTGTTAATTTTCTAAAGGGCTTAATTATTAAGGCATGGCAGAAAAGCAACATCAATAGTTTAATTTCCGCCAATTACTCTCACGATTTTACAGTCTCCATTTCTGAGATTTGAACTTAAAGATTTTCAAAATTCGAATTGAGTTTCAGGCTGAAAACTATACCAAGTCTTCTTCGAAATTCACAAAACAATTAAACAAACTGCATGTTTGCAGTGGCTTTCATATAGAAAGTATTAAAATTCTCATTCTCTACGCTGACATCGGCACGATCTTTAATATGTCAGTTCTCCCATTTCTGTTAATGGCAGTCACTGCACTTCACTCATGCATAAATGGTACAAATAACATGTATTGTTATCTGTATCATACAAGTCGGCAAAGTATCCCGGGGAAACATCACACCAACTTGATGTAAACACATCCTTCCTGCCAGAAACACCGGGGCAAACCCCTTCTCTTAGCGATATAAGCGTTACTGGGCTATTTTACGCGCGTTAGGCCCTATACAACACACGGGACCTACGGCTTTGCGTCCCATCTGAAGAACGAAGCACTTGCTTAAGGGCACAAGTGTTATGATATGGGAACTGAACATTGTATTTTCAAAATCATTTTTTCAGTCATCCAATTAGTGGCGTCACACGAAGTTTGCTACGTCGGGATTGAGTACAGTGACGATCAACCACCGCACCAACGTTGGGTCTTGCACAAAGATCCGTGCAGGTGTACGGCTATACGTCTCGGTGGTGTGCGCACAGCAAACCATCAACAGGTGGTGCCCTACCCATTGAGCAGGCTCGTTCTCAGTGAAGATCCTGGTGAAATACGGGCATTCTTCGAATGTCCAGGTAAAGAAACAAATTGACCGTGTACATGTTCGTAACGCAATTAGTATAATCTATTTACATATTTACCTGGAAAGGTATAGTAGTGATTTGCCAGTGGATGAACATGATACTCTTATGATTTATGTAGTTCCACTAGAAGAGGATTAACATTCCACACGGTATAAAAGGGCATTTGTAGATGTGCATAACCTACCATAGTCATCCAAGACTTAAAAGTTACGTACACTGTATACGTATTAAACGGTGTCAACCATTATTATTGAGCATTACAAACATTCTCGCTAAAGCCCCTGTCACACTTTCGCGTATCCTAATTCCTTATGAGTTCCTTATCAAAATTTGTCAATACGCAGCCGTACGCTAAAAACGTCACATTTTTTTGAATACTTTGACTTATGTGCGACGCACATCTAGCGTACAAGTAACGAATTCAGCGCACCCATTGCGTATGAGATGCGTATGAGTTCCGTATGCAGTGCACACCATTATTTTTCGGGCTGCGAATAGGTCAGTATGCAGTGCGCATGCTGAGCGTATTCCGGACGCACCCGACTTATGCCGACCGCATGCCTGACGCAATACGTCGGCATTCGCTATGAGTTCGTTCAGCGTGCGTTGTATCTGCGCTGCAAGTACGCTATGTATACGTCCAATATAGGCGGCTCATCATGCTGACAGGGTGCGTGCCGGGAGGTCAGCGTATTACTGCGTATGAGCCGCTTATCCCCCACGATTACATAGCGTACTCGTACCGTGCTCGACCGATGCGGGACCGATGCGCTGCGTATTTATAACTTATGACCTGCGTAACAGCGTACGCAGCGTAGTTTTGTGCATGCCCAAAACTATCCAGCGTACTGGGCCGTACCATGCGTATGCCTGCGTACATAAAACTTACACAAATCGATAGAGATGCATATGAGGTGCGTATTGTGCGTACGACTGCGTATGAAAAAATGTCAATGCGCAACTCATAAGGAATTAGGATACGCAGAAGTGTGACAGGGCCCTCAATTCACCAATGAGAACACTTAACTTTTCTACAAGTGAATGCTGATAATGATGACAAGTCTGCCATAACACGTCGACCGAAAATGACTGAATTGAAGTATAGTTCTTGAATGACCTTAGATCAGGCCAGAAGGATTGCATGTTGAAGTTTGTGGTCGCACCATGTTACACGAAATCGCGTTGTGATTTTGGATGCTTCTGAATAGAACCGAGGAGGGCGGGGAAACTCAACGTTTCGGATAGTAGGCACACTCTGCTGACAGTCTCCTGAGGATGGCCGGAGCATGCTATCCGAACCGTTGAGTTCCCTCCGGTTCCCTTCAGCTAACCTCACAAACTCACAAATAGATTTCTTGTCACAAGCTGCAACCGCACACTAATTCTTATTGAATGAACTTTGACATAAAGCTTGCCGTGACGTCATTCCCCTGGGAATGGAGAACAGACGGATACCGGACAGCAGTCTGGAAGCCTCAACTCTGGGCGATAGTGGATACCACACCCAAGATTCTCGGCTCAACTCCAACTGTACGTACTACTTCAGGCCCGGCGGCGAATTTTTTTCCCCAAACGAGATCGGACAATACCAAAAGAAGGCGCCCTCTCTGCGTTATGCATATTCATGATGTCCAGGGCTTTAGAGAATAATTTATATGAAAAGGAATAAATCACCGACGATTGGCAGCTGATTCGTGGACTGGTTGGAAGTACTGCTTACTTCTAATCAAGTGATCCGAGATCAAATCAAAGTGAGCGTTTTTCACATCTTCTCATTTTATCTTTTAAATAACTTAAGTGGGGAAGGAACATTTCTCACAAGACGTAAAGCCTATATTGGGTTTGTGTTGTGGAGAGCAAGGCATTAGATATGCATGTAACGGACCGATCAGAAGATGGACAACGGATATGGTTTGGGAAAAACGATTCGCGGCCCGGCGCCCATGTAACTTCCAGAAGATGGATAGTTTTGGCTCAAGACGTTGATTTAACATAGCTTTGATACGCAGTAATTCATAGCGAAAATCTTCCGCTTGAAGAGGGCGATGTTACCAATGCTTTGCTAATATCACGCATTAACTGCTTTGGTCACAGGTTAAACCAACTGTTCACTATACATGTATATATATTTGCATTAAAAGAAACGCACACACATGTTAAACAATACAAGCTGTATAAATCTAACCCATAGAAAATTTCAAATCGTTACTAGCACCTTTAGATAGAGCAAATGGCCTTTTAAAACAGCCTTGTAGATAAGGCCATAAGGCGATCGGCGCGGATCGAGTGAAATAGATTTGCACCCATTACCTCGGAAATACCGATATAGCTGGCTTGGTGATGTCATAGGTATTGCTCGGTAACACCAATGGTATATGTCAGTGATACCATAGACAGCTCTGTGATACCACATAGAGCTCGGCGATACCACAGGTATAGCTCGGTGACCACAGATATAGTTCGGTGATACCATAGCTCGGTGACATCAAAGGTATATCTCTGTAATACCATATAGCTCGATTATACCACACAGGTACAGCTCAGTGATGGCACAGGTATAGCTCAGTGATACCGTTGCCCGGTGATAACTTAGGTATATCTCGGAAACAAGGCAAAGGTCTGTGATAAAACAGGTATAGCTCGGTGATACCATGGGTATATTTCGATTATATTATGCATAGCTTGGTAACACCAAATTTATATCTCGGTGATATTACAATTTATTGTAGTTCTATGGTGATACGAAGTATTAACAGCCCTGACTTGGTTTGCTGTCCCCAGCCGGGTGGTGTGCCAACTCGCAAGACAACAAACACCCGTGGATCCGTGTTGACCTAGGCGAGGTAGCCACGGTGGCCGGACTCATCACACAGGGCCGGCACCAGAGCAACGTGTGGATTACGTCGTACAAAGTCGAGTACAGTCAGGCCGTGTCTAGCTGGAGCACCGTAACAGAGGACGGGGTATACGGGCTGCAAATGGAGGTAAGACATAGGATTTATTTAATTTATTTAAAAGTTGCAAAAACACGAAGGAGAGGGGAACCCATGGACAGGGTGACAGCTTCGTATTGTTAAACCACCCACTAACCCCTCCTGAAAATGAGCCCTCCAAAGTGCACCTGCATTTGCAAACTGGACAACAGTTATGCTCCTTCACCTGGTGTAAAGTCGATACCAGTTGCTTATACAAACGGATCCATGATGACTTCTCTTTTCCCATGATGCAGGATTTGCGCCACCAACAGCATCTTTTTTGGTATGGGTCATATTTTTCAACGATTTAGGGAGCCGTGAGGACGCATTCTTTTTTTTGGGGGGGGGGGGCTACAAACATAAGAAATATCAGCTATTTAAGCAACGTAGCAATTTTAACTAAATCTAAATTGTAAACATTTTAATGTAATAGATTTATGGCAATGTATAAAATCACGTCAATAACCTTGGATTCACAGCTTTGTAACAGCGCCCTCACTTGCCCTGAAATACAGCCTAATGCCAATAAAGCCCATCCCCCTTCCGGGTCTGTGAAAAATCATCAAAATTTGAGGATTAAAATCCGTTAGGCTTGATCACTCAAATAGACCTAAACTTAATGTTACGCTTTGTGGGTCATTCCATGAAATTTCGTAGTCCAATTTGTTCGTGTCTCCTGTAATAAGACAAAAATAAATTCAGGACACATTGTTTAAGGCCTCCTTTGTCCAGAAGTGTTTATGGGAGTACCTGCAAAACAAATTTAAATAATAATTTGAAATCATTTTAACGATACCTGGATGGTAAATTACACAAGTCAGGTGTAACAGGGACACAAAAAATGTCACTCGTTTGGCCCCCAAATTTACTAATGCATGTACACTTTCCTATTATGACTGCCATACGAAAGTTAACATGTAACGTCATCACGTCTCAGGTCTATTATCTTTCTAGTTTCAGGCTAACACGGACCACAGCACCCCAGTGACTGTCCACTTTCCCGCAGCTGTCCGGGCCCGGTTTGTCAAAATACTGCCGGCAACGTGGGCAAGGGACAACGCCGTTTGCCTTCGCTTCGAGGTAATCGGCTGCGTCAGCGATTAAATGACAAAAGCTTTCAGAGTAATGCCTGATTGGTGTTTAAAACATACAATTATGTTTACCTATATAAATATTATTTCGTGTGTAGTAATATAGGTTTTCCCGGCCAAGTTAGCAGATTTGGCGGCCAAATTGGTGACCAAGCACCCCTTTTCGCACGAATGTGAATGCACGTTGAGATCAACATTCAATTACCTAAAAACACCAATCAATTTAAAATTAAAAGCATGCGATTTCACATTTAAATCATGCGATTTCAACAATAAGGCATTCAAATTAAAATTGTACAAACGAGCATCCAAATTCGCCGGAGCTTCGAGCTGTGTAAGTTTGGTCATTCGACTTCACCATTAAGCAAGCATGTGTGAAAAGTAAGCAAAGTAATTCAAAATAGGTCCATGTCGTTCCGTTGTTTGTTAGAATAGGATGGAGTGCTTTTGTTCCAATTTGGACACATGGGCGTCGCGATGGGGAGGGGGGCGCTTTCTCCCCCCCCCCCGAAAAAAGAGGGGGAAAAAGAAGGAAAAAAAAAGGAAAAGAAAAAGAGGCGCGAAGTCATTATTGCTGTAAATTTAATGGGTTGGGGGAATGTCCGTGCCCCCTCTAAAACTGATAAATCGAGAATATGATGGGAAATACAGGCATTTCGGGGAAATATGTTTTGCCCCCCTCTAGAAAAAATCCTGGGGACGCCCTTGTTTGGAAATATAGATATAAAAACCTCCGACAAGACTCTGCGACTACTCTGATCACCATGCAAACTGTTAGATTGAAGCACTATAAATATAAATATGCCGGCTAATTGGCATTACATGAGAATGCAAATGTAGACCCTGGTAGTTTGATCGAAGCTTTCGATGGTAATGCACAAGACTATCTTGAACCTGCAGACGATCTTGCTATAAACAGATCTACTTACAGGTCAATTATAGCAACGCATCTCAGATCTGGCAGACAGAAAAACCTGCCAAGAGGAGGGGCCAGAAAAACAAAAATGGGCCACGACCCAGAGCAGAAAAAAAATTGAAAGAGTGAAAGAAATGAAAAAAAAAACTCGCATCGTCTACTTTCGTTTACTTTTATTTTGAATGAAAAAAGTGCTAAATAGAATGCGCGGAAATGAAAACGAAAACAAGAATCTCATGCAAATAACCCTAAACCAAACCGACTGCTAAATTGAATGATCACTTAAACCGAATGACATAAATTCAATTTAGGATGTGTTATACATGAAAATGTCGGATTTTAAAACGAATTTGAACGCCTGATATCTAATACGAACCACGGGAATGACAGCAGGACGCTACGTCGCTTCAAATTGGCCACTATCAAGATGGATTCGAATGCTAATTGGCCGGGAAAACCTATAATAAAGACCCTGTACTGTGAACGTAACTGTTGCGTCCAAGAAAATGTAATGAGAGTATATCTTGAGTGTTTACTGTGATTAAAAATTCTAAGACTGCCTGGAATGTTTGATGTTGCTGTAACAAGTCTTTTTAACATCATCTGTACAGTTGGATTAATTCCTGTCAATATACCCTTCAGGAGACATTTATTTCGTCATTAGTTACACCGGACATTAGATAGACATTTTAATATATCCCAACTGTCACAACTCCTATTTAGAGGCGAAATTTAGGCTAGAGTCGAAAATAGGCTAGATCAATCGCTAGCGGTCCAACACACACATATGTCAAAATTCAGGGATAGGACGAGGGATAATTGGGGTTAGGGGTCATTAAAGTTGGAAAAATTGTGTGAACAACTCTATGAGAATGTCCCCGTAAGGTATCATTTCCAGTATTAACTATTTACCAGTATTATTTTCCATTAATTGACAAACCCAAAGATTTCTAGGCGTCATTTTTTTTGTCGATACCAATTCTTATTTTTTTTTCTCGTCAAAACGAAAGCATTTCAATCGCATGACTTATTTTCTTTTTCGTAAACTATGTTTATTATGATGAGATATAGTCAATGTATTTTAACGGTTAACTAGAGAAAAAAGACACGCATCTATGTTACCAAGTTGTCTATACCGTATCAGATAATTATATTTCATTAATTCGAAGAATTTATATTGTCTATTATTGTAACTTGTTCTGAAAGCCGCAAATTTTAGCTCGCGTAAAAATAAATTGCTCTTTATACTCGCATTGCACCTACATTTTAGATATCAGTGTTACCATTCTAAGAATTCCTTCATTACTTTTTTTTTCTTAATGCAATTCCAAAACTTTACGAATTGAATCCTAGATAGAAGCTTCAATTTCACAGCTGCTGGAAGGCAAACAAGTCATGACATTGTTTTTCTAAACCTACATCGTAGGTTAAACATTGATACACAAAACGCTTATAACTAAATATAACTTCACATAAGAATAGTTTAAGCTTACCCTTGAACGTTGCTTATATCGATACCAGAACTGGGCCTACATAATTACAGGCACAGGTTCACCAAACTATTTCCCTACAATAGGCATAGGTTCACGCAGAAATGAACTGGTTGGTTTACATAATAACAATGTAATCATTTCAGATATTATTACGCTGTTATGTTTGTATTTTTAGTCCAGAGTGAGTGGGTCTAATTTTGAAACACGTATAATGGAGACACGGTACAGTGTAATGATCATGGATCCTAATTGAATCACATATTGCACTTTGGCACTACACAGCTAGCTAACTCTCGAATGATAACTTATGTTGAACTCTCTCTCTGAGTTTGTACCTCACATCAATGGACAATTGACAAACATTGTACTATATGTCGCTAAATTGGCCTACTTGGTGAGAGTTTCTGCGCCATTATATATTGTCTCAGTCTCCACAAATGTTACATATACATGTACACGTAGATCACAAATATGCAGCAAATGTCGGATACAAGGATTTGTCTTAATTTTGGTTCCCGGATTGTTTTGTTATTTACTTGCAGGTGACACGAACTTTTTTTGAAGGCAATTGAAGTCGCTGGAAATGTAAAAACAAAATTATAGGCTAACGATACAAACACGTTTTACAGCATTCGAAACCATGAAACGGGTAACCACGTGTATTTTTGTCATGGTTTAATTGAACCAAACTTTCTTTCAATTTAGGAAATATGACATTTACATGAGTTAATATATCTGTAAATATGTTATTGACATGAATATAGAAAACATAGAAACATTAATTTTGTAGGTGTAGTGATTGAAAGACCTCTATTCATAGGAATAACGTTAACATGACATATTTCATATATAAATTAGTTTTTCAACATTTCCAATGAATAACATTATAAATACCTGCGAAATATTCAATCGAAAATGTCCTTTGAAAAACGATAGTACTGCTTAAATGTTAGTAATTTCTGATGTTCATCCTGTTTTATTCTATACACTTTGCTATTTATGCGGCTTAATGTGTAGACATGTAGTAGCACACCTCTTCAAAGTATTCATCCGAACACCAAAACCTACATATAGCCTTTCAATTTATGAAATAAAAATGCAAACATAATTATGATGACTTGAATCGAGCATTCATTTCATGACACGTCATTATGCATTTGAGCATTCGAAGTTCCTCCACATATCACCAGAGGTGTAGTCGAGTCCCAAGTTCTCATACGTCTATTTACAAGTCATCAACCACACGCTATTCAAACGAGCTGTGACCAGACATTGCCCGTTTAATGTCCACTCATATTGTGACTGGACTTGGGAGTGAAATTGTGATGAACTCACTTCAACAATGCATATAGCTTAAGTTTCAACATCACAGAAATATATTGTTCACTTATCTTTTGGTTTAATTCCATTGGCAAATGAACCAGCCGCAATAATTCATCAATGAAAGGAACGGTCACCTTGTGCAACTTCCATTATCAAAAAGCTGCAGCAGTTACTTGTCCTCAACCGGGTTTTCGAATTCAACGTAAGTTTTCCTCGGAGGCCAGAAAATCTGCAAAGCCCTGTAAAAAATGGACGATATCAAGTCAATCACTTTAAAATGAAATTCGCACTGAGCAGTATCTTGCGCATTTAAAACCTCGAATTATAGATCGAATGTTGGTAAAAAGATTACAATAAAGTGAGGGAATTAAACACAAATGTTGCGATGGGCTTTCAATGGAGATTTTAAAAATGAGCCGTGAAACATGACGTTCTTACAGTGTCATTCCTGCGGGAATAACGGTAATACTGGAATACACAAAGAAGGTCAGTGGCGGTAGGAAGGATACGGTGGCCGCGTACAGACTTGTCGACAGTAGACTGGATGTGAATGAGATGCTTTCCATGCACGCGATGATTGACAACATTGCACCTGCACAATGAACGGGAAAAGAAGACACCGAGCAGTTTTAGGTTTTGCAAGGGGTTTGAAAAAGTTTGCAGATACACCAAGTGAGGTGAATTCCCTCTAAAACCGAAATGAAACCGAGAGCAACCAGAGGTGCTTAACTTGAACTACCCGTCATCATTGTTTAATTGAGAGTCTATCACAAGTCCTCACAACCATTACAAGTCATTGAAAGTCTTCGAAAGTTTACACAGTTATCCAGTCCTATCCAGCTTTTCAAATGACCGGTGAAGAAAAACATTCCTTTGTTATTGTTTATCCTGTTACCGTTTGCCTGGACTTGTGAACTGACTTGTGATTTACTTTGGACAGGACACGCGCGTGAGAGACTTGTGATGGCCTATAATGCAACCCTCGCATTTGGAGAAAGCTCTACCACCAAGATTAAGACATGTTCACCAAGTATAAGTCCCTCTATGGCGGCCATCCAACCTGGACAGAACTGAGTACACTATGCACCCGGCCCATGGCGTCATGGGCCAACTTTGGCCTGTTGCCATGTATCCATATGAAGATGATGTATAAGAACATGACGCTATCCGTTAGCATTTTTTTCATCGAGGATCTTCACGACTGACTATTGGGTCAGTCAAACCCTATCCTGTAGGGCCTATGTACAGAGGAAAGTCTTCTAGCTGTTACTTTCTCCCTGGACACTTAAAACAAAAGAGGGACGCAAAGAAAGAACAAAGAAGGTTGAAGCCTTAGACCAATCTATTCATTATTGTGAGCTCACCGCAACTCATTTACCCTCATCTTGTATATCAAGAGTTGTGTGGGAGTCGTACGTTATACATGCATCTCCCTTTTTGAAAAATGTAAGTCACCAATTACAAGGCTAAAGCCACTCAATATAACGGGCTACCAAAATACAGGCACAAGGGTCGCTTGACTCTGTACCCCAAAGGTACTTCTGAGTGACACGGTATAGAGGAATACGTGCTATACACATGACCTAATCTGAAAGCATCTTCTCATAACGGGAACGTTACTCGTAACAAATTGTGTTCAATGAAGAACCACTTGACCAAACGATATCTGCACATGCAGATGTTGTAAGTGTACATGCACTGCCTAACTCTAACGGACTATAACACGTCATTTTCTCTGCTTGTATGTGGGTCCTCACCTATCTCGTCTGGGTGGGATATCTTTGAGAGGACCGACCGTGCAACCGAGAGAGACATCAGTCGAAGACAGCCCACAAAAGTTCCTGTGGGAAAAAAAGACAGTTTTTGACCTCGGTGATTGCGAGATACATATCAACATTTAGCCACATCTGGCAATTATTTCTGCAATTGACATTATTTTGGGATAAAGTTGAACTGCTTTCCATCGAATTGTTTGTACATACTGTAGCCAGGATCATGAGATGTTTTGAAAGGAATAGACTTAGAGAAGTTAGAGGCAGGTCCTAGTTTATCGCCATGTTACATGATGGCTTAGCTTCCCAAGTCCATGTCGGAATTAAATTGACGTAAGCAGTGTTTCATTTCTCAGTATCCATTCCTGGTGACCTGGATTCGCATCCCACCCACGCCAACATGCGGAATGAGCTTGCAGTACCACCTTAATTCTGTTGTTTTTGTTGACCACCTTAATTCTGTTGTTTTTGTTTAATCTTCTTTACCTCTTAACCAAACGGTACAGGTACAATATGTCAATGGAAACTTTGTAGGTGTACTGAAATAAATCAATAGATAATGTTTACATATCATGGAAGGCCGTAACACCTCTTAATCAGTCACGGCTGTTGTAAGGTGAGAATCTCACAAACAGTGCCTTAACAAACCAATGTAGAGGACCGCTGTGGACTTCGCTAATCCCATGATGAGGTAGGAGGCCATAAAACTGAGGCAGCTAATCTGCATCAGCCAGTAGTCTCCCAGACACAGTGAGAAGAGTTTGGTACCAACCAGCATACCTGTCCAGACAAAACCAAAGCAGTTACCAGCAATACTACTCGTATGGGGAAACTAGTGTGTATGCATTCAGTTACCGCACATTTATGTGATTTCGTAGCTGTAACAGATACTGCAATAATGCAGACCATACTGGGAATCTGGCTGCGACATATTTTCTAGATGCTAATGATGCTATAGGTAGATGATTGTTCATCCTAAGTCACAACAGCTGTTGAAAAAGAGAGGAAAGTACTTAAAAACGGCAGCATAATCGGTTCCATCTTTTTCGGCAATGTTCCTGTACCGATATGTGCCATTTGCATGATTGGGTTGAAAAACGGACAGCACTGGCAAACTTGGCACGTTTTGCAAGTCCTTATATAGTTTGAACAAGTCCTCGTTTGCCATTCACGATATGACAATTGAATGCAAGCAGCGAATATCGGTAAAAACTGGTGTTAAACCTCTTTTGCTTGAACTTACCAATAGCCAGAGAAATCCATATAAGTGACGAGGCGAGTCCAGCAGTTTCAGACAACCAGCAGAAGGGCTTGCCGGTACCGTAGAGCACGTAGATGGCCGAGACACCGATGAACTGCCCGATGCAGAAGTAGACGTACAGGGTCAGAAGAATCATCTGCCATCGCCGACCGTTCACGTTGTACATTACCAGCCTCTTCATACTCCGCCAAACCTGCCGCAATCCCTGGTGTTCTATGCTACCTCTTTCCACGGTCTCAATCAGGCAGAGTGGGATTGCAATATAGACCAGGGCAGCAACATTACTCCCAATTGCAATCGCCAAGGACGGGATATAACCGACTTTGATCAGATAGCCTTGTCCTAGTTGATTCAACCCTCCACTGAGATACTGCAGCATGTCGGCGACCACGATCCGGATAGTTCTCTGTTTTTCCGAGGTGGCATCTGCCAGGTAGGCGTTGGTGGAGGAGAAAAGGAGTCCGTACCCGCCGGCCAGCCCTTGGAGGACTTCGCCCGTAAAGAGGACGGCCAGAGGAAGCTTGAAGATAACCGTGAAGAGGTACACTGCAGCTTGGATGGCGAAGGCGCTGAGTGGTATAGCCATCGTCAGCTTCCTGCCGAGTCTGTCGCTGGTAGAGCCGAAGATGATGGTGCTAAGCATGGCAGGAACTCCAGAGGCAGCGGCGAGATACAACAACCACATGGCGGACTCTGCTTGTATCTTGTCGCTGAGCGAAGTACCGTTACTTGGCTGGTCGGCGCCACACTTGGTATGGTTGTCGCTAGTCTCGTTGTAGTTGTAAGACTCGCTGATTACATCCTTCACGTAGAGCGGCCTGACGAGGGCCGTGCAGGTGTTGCCAATCATCGCCAGCACGTAGATCGGCTCCACGGTCACCCATCTCAATCGTGCCCGTTCGCGACCCGTCGGCAGCACAGTTTTAACCGGTGGTGTATCCATTGGGGTATTCGGTGATTTCATTTCAACTTCTTTGGACATTGTATGTCACCAGATATTGGCCCTGGAAAGTGGAACATTTAATCAATCATAATTGGATTGTTTCAAATCCTTATGAAAAAGCACCTAGCATCGGTTTTATGTTGGTACTGCAAAGACAATATGACAGAATGACAATATTCACAAATAAAGCCTTGCTCTATTTGCTCTTTTTGTACTCCACTCTAATATCTGCCACTGCACAAAGTCCTATATTCGGAGCGTTAAACAGACTTGGCTAAACAAGTCTCAGTAGTCAGACCCCATCCTTATCTCTCCAACTTATCGTATACCAGAGTTCACTTTGTTGGTGAGCGAAAGAAAAAATCCTCCAATTCACTTCAGCTGCTGTAGTGCACTGGCAGGTCCAACTGAAATGAGCTGCATTACACTAAATGTAAGATTTGACAATGCAAACTACGGAACCGCCACTGAGTGATTATGTCGGGTGAATTCAAAGGAAACATAATATTTTGATCTCAAACGTAGAAAACAAATATATACATACTTCGATGCAGATTGAAATATTCCTGGCAGGAAATGCAATGTCAGCTCAAACACAGCTTGGATAGGAGCACATCAACAATGGGACACAAACACTGTGTAATTTTATTATACAAGCCCAGGCTTATCGGCAATTATTTCCAGAGTCAAGTTCATAATCCACCAGACGGTCATTTGATGTTCTTTGTTTGTGATTGTTCAGAGAAAGACTATGCACTTCGGCCGATCAGTCGCGGGTGTGTTTAACTTCATCTGAGCGGTATTACTGTGCAAAATATTGATATTGTCGGACCAATATTATAAATTCAGTTGTCATCAGCCTGACTTGGGACGACATCTCACCATTACTTTATATATTTGTAGTAGGCCTAAGTTCTGTTTGATATTAAATTATGTTGAGATCAGATTTTGTTTCTGAAGCTACTTTGTTTTAGTAGTCACTGTATTCGAATGATCCTGGGGAAAAAAAGAGACCTACATAACACTATTATCGGGAACTTTTGCGCCATTTCCAAAGTATACCCATGCACAAAATAGATAAGGATTATGTATAAATAGGCTTTGTCGGACGCCCTCAGATATTAGGTGGTAATCCTACTTATTTGCAATATGCAAAATTAAAAAAAAAACCAATGATATTGCATAATAATGTCTGACATGAACATCAAGGGAAGCGTCAGAAAAAAAGAGGGTACGTGGGCTTATGGGGTTGGGGACATATAGCTATCGTCCCATTTTTTTTTTTTTTGCTTTCAAGAAAAAGGATGGGCTTGACCAATTTTTTTTTGGTTATACGAGTTTATTTCCTTATTTCCTTGGAGTATCCAACAGTTTGATTGATTTCAAAGATGTGTTTGTTCAATTCTGATTACATGTTTGTTCGACTTATGATTTAGGATTATATCTGGGTATCAAGCTATTTGATCATGAGTCCGTCCAAAGAGTGCCTATATCACAGCGAAGCAACGGCGGCAGAACCGCGTACCATTTCTAATGGTCTTATGTCTTTGTTCAAGGGTGCTAGTCAGAATAGAAGCTAAAGTTTATTCTATACACAAAGCACATTAGATCGTTTGCAATGCAGCCATCTTTAATAGCGTGTGGTTTTGGTATACCAGTGGCGGCCCCAAAGGGAAGGGGGGAGTTGGGGGCAGCAACCCCCCCCCCCCACCCACCTTCAGCCGCTGACTAATGTTGTGATACTAGTAAAAGAAATAATAAATGGAATGCTAAAGTTCCTACATTTATTTTCAAATTAGAATACAGGAGAAAGCATCGTAGATTTCAATATTTTTGCCGGGAGGGACCCAGCAAGGCATCACCGTCCATGTCACACAATAGGTGGCGCTATTCAATTTCCACGGGACGTTAAAATAAAAAGCCAACCGCGAAAATAAACAGAAAACGTGCACAACTGGCACCATATAGACCTGCTAATCATGGTAACTACTAGGACTGTGATTTTCTCAGGTCGCCAAATTTCCAGGGGGAGGCGACTGGGGGGGGGGGGGATTTTGTATGGGGGCGGGGGGGGGCGTGCGCATTGTGCATTAATACATTTACATAATAAAACACACGTCAGAGATGCACTGCTGAATGCAATCGTCTATAACTGTACTGTATCTAATCATAGACATGATAGAGCAACGATATCTATGATCTAATCATAATATCAAGACGTTAGCACATTCAACCAGCATTTCGATACCACCATGGCGATAGGTTATGGCAGTGCATAATGAGCAATTAGTAGCCTAGACTTCATTTATTGAAGAACAAATCCATTATATATAAATGCATAGACCACGTACCATTAATATATGCCTAAATGATGGGGCCTATGCATTATTACTTGGTTATGTATTCGCACAAAGCTGACGTGACGTGCTGACTGAAATATCCACCCAATACCCCTTCACAAGTTCACCTTGACGGCCTCCGGTCTTGAAGAATTCATGCTCTTGGTGAGTTCTAATCTGGTAAGAGTACACCTCACGCACAGCATTTTACATGTTTTATTTTGAGAGAAGGGCTTTTGTTTATTATCTAGGCAGTGCACCTGCTCACAGCTGCCATGCCGAGATCTATCGCCCATTGCAGCCATTTGTAACCACCGAGTCCCTTTTTATAGCTTCATGGTTGGACAATAATGGAGGTAGGAAACATGGTTGGAATGGACATTCCTCCATGGAATGGACAAGGCATTTAGAGAGTATACTCACCATAACCAGTGGGCCTAGCCGGGGATGTTTGTGTGCAGCCATCTCCGTTGAATGTTGTTGAACACCGACCATGGAGAAAGTGTACATGACTCACCACGAACCGATCACGTTAGTCAAAAAATCAGTTGAAAGGAAATGCAATTGTTTTGTTGACTGGGCCTATGCGAGCTGTGAGTATAAAAGGTCAAAGTAACATCTGCCGTCAGACGTGTACACATGCCAGACCGTACCGGCAAGGCCAGCTGCTTTCAACTATGCTGCCGCTATGATGTGCCATCCGATGTTGATGATCCTGATGATCACGTCAGTAGACCATAAACGTAATGGTCTTGTTATTCTCACCACGATTACCCACGAGCCACAAACATAGGCATGAAATTTATGACAGCAAAATATCCAAAATTTTAGCAACTTTTTGTGCCGAAGAATGACAACACAGTTTTGCCATGAATATGGAAATGCATTAGCATAATACGAAAAAAAGCACCAAAATTACCTTCAAATGGCAAAACGAAAAGGTTACACGGGACAAAAAGGTGCATTTTCACAACACAAGGATAGCATTAAAAACATGTTTACATTACATGGGCCCTTTAATTAATAACAAAAAAACCCGCTTGTTAGTTTCCTGTTCAATCATGCGATTAATTTACGCCTCAATGAGCATGTGCTGTATGCAGACCACAAAAGAACCTAATGTATTGACTTCTGTATTGTGCGTAATGTAATCGCGGTTGCAATTCTTTCAATTTGCCGGTATATACACCGTCGTGGCGCATATAGCTCCCGTGGTCACAAATAATGTACAAATATTGACTGCTTCGAGAGGTGTGGTAGCTGTACGAGGTGATCCATGGAGCGTTAATTCTGGTTCCTGAGGGAAATGGAACGCTCCATGGATCATATCTATGGTGCGCACAGACCTCTGGTTGCTACGTTGGTGTCTGTGCGCGTATTCATGTGAAGGCTTTTTCAGACCGAGGCAGCCATTGTATAGTATTTTTTGCGGGCTGTGCACAGCAAGATACTTAAAATAGCGAATGTCATGTGACTCGCTCTCGCGGCCAATCACGATACAGACTTGTGGATGAGGTGTGATAAGAATGATATATCTGCTCAAAATTATTCAATTTGACATAGCAGTTATACACACTGTCATGTTCCAGCCCGAACAAGTGCATTTGTTTTTAATAATCAAACCAGAAGGCGAATGCAGACGACTCCCGTCTACGAATTTGTGGAAATAAAAAGTGCTTAGAAAACGGGGAAAGTGTGTCTCCTCGCGTCAAATGAAGTCCAACTCACATGCTGCGCTAAGAAAATTTAGGTGAGAAAAATCAGTAGAATGTGTATCTCGTTGTCTACCCGTGTATGGGGTTTCTCTATCTTGAAGAACACAATATGGATGTGGTTCCTTCTGTTGGTACATACCTATGCAAATCACATAAGTCCACGTAAGATCTACTGTGTTTAATTTATGTACAAAGGGGCGTTGATGTGTAACCGTCTTGGGGAAGCAATAGTCAAGCATACGTCGATATACAAACTTACAACATGGTTTGCGGGGAAATAGTGAAAACTAATAACCCCGAGGATGATTGTGACTATCTCCTGAGGGAAGGTGGAAAACTGCAGAAGCAAATAATAGGTACATAAACATAGAAACAATGAGCAACGTTTAATTATCTCACGGTAGTCCGAAAATTTGGGACTATCAATACTGTGTATGAGAGTCCCAAAACTTAAGGTATTGAAATCATGCAATACAAGAAAATAGACTGGCATCTGAAACAGCCAGTCCAACAACTCTTCAGTACTGCATCAATCAACTGTCAGCTGACTGTGCCAAAAGAAATATCTAGGATGTCGGGTACTAGGTCACTATTTCTACACATTTTTCCATAGTCAGGCACCTGACTAATGACAATGAATGAAGAAGTCAGTCTTGTCAAACAGTTGGACCATGGATGGACATGTAGAAGTCTAGTCTTAAGCCTCATTTTGAAATCATTTGACTTCCCTCTCATGTGCAAGCCACTGCCAAATATTGAAGAAAAGTCTCCTTTAAAAATGTAATTAAAGCTTCAAACTTGGTTGGTGAAATACTGAGGACCTTTTCTATTATAGGTCTTTACAGAACAGACCTCTACGGAATTACAGAAAATGACATCAATTAAATGGAATAACATTTATTGAACTTAAACTGAATTACAGATATTAAGGTTCACATTTTCACTCTCCTGCTGATCGACCTCATTCAGATCAATGCATAGTTGTACCCGTGTCCCCAAGTCTGCACTAGCTCTGCGGACAATCCGTGTTCTTCTGAGGGCTTGGATTTCAACAGTAATTTGTTGGCGAAGTTCCTGCAGAGTGTTCGGCACAATGCGGTACACCCGGTCCTTGAGGTACCCCAAAAGAAAAAAATCAAAGGGGGATGAGATCTGGAGATCTTGGCGCCCCTTGTTCAGGTTCTTGTTTGCACTATTAAATAACGTTAAATACCCGCTTTAAAATATTAAGAAACATTGTGTTGGTAGTGTTTTGGGGTAGTCACAAAGAAAGGCCTGTAGTCTTTGCATGCATGGCTGAATTTCAGTAAAACTTGTACTGAATGTGGTCAATACCCAGATCGAATGTTGGCAGTAGACCTTTCCCGTTTATGTGGGAGACAAAAACGTATCCAAAGGGACACCTTTTTTACTCACCCAGTATAAGAATATTGTGCTTCAAACTTCATGTAATTTGACATTTGAATCACCTTTGCGAAGTATTAAATTTCCAATTAAAATTAAAATGCGATACTTTAATTTGTCTTCTCACTAATAATGGTTATTCAAACAGTCGAGAGAGCAAGAGAGTAAAAATATCAAAGTAAAGTCTATGCAAGTTGGGTATTTAGAACTAACCGACTGTTTATGCTTTTTGTGTTTCAATACTAGATATAGTTCAGAGTCTGAGACCGAGAGGCCTTGGGGGCCAAAACTCCAAGGGCATGCACAATTACATGTAGTTAAAGATACATTTCTATTGTTGTTTAAAATGGATATCGGAACAGAGTTCGAAGGGTCGAGAGAGCCGAAGTTCCAAGGAAGAACGTGTTGTAATTTGTAAATCGAAATTAATTAAACACTTCCCACACTTCTATTATCCGGACAGACTCCGAATAGCCAAAAGGGCCGAAGTTCTAAGGTGGAAAGTGTCATCTTTACTATGAATTAAATAATACTACGATGCTGTTTTTTTTTCTCTCCAAATAATTATAATGCATATGTACCTGGAAAAACGACACGCTATTTGTGAACGCGCACTAATAGATTGTCACGGGATTTACAAACTAAACTTAACTAGAGGAAATTGAATTAATATAGACCAGAGACAATTAACATTTTAGATTCCAAACAAAAACAAGATAAAAAAAGAGAATTTATTTACAAGAGCTCAAAATCAGGACTAAACCAAAATAATAAGGACCAAAACCAAGAACCAACTCAAAAGACAAAATCTAAAATCAAAGCTAAAGGCAAAGACTAAATCCAACCAAAATTGAAACCTAAAAGACTAAAACCCTAAAACCAACACAGTGTGAATCGATGGATCTTAGAAGAACACTTTGACAAAAATCTGTAAACAAGACAATACAAGAAGAGAAACATATGAGAATGATCTAATTAATATTCATGATGCAATAAACAAGTTCTCTCACACAAACGAAGTTGGAGACACTATGGAGTACTAGTAAGCAACATGGTGAATTTGAAGATCATCAATACTGAGGTTTGGCAAGACTACTATGATTTATCATAGTAGTCTTGCCAAACGAGCTTCAAATATTCACCATGTTACTTACTAGTACTCCATGGTGTCTCCAACTTATAGGCTATCTGTAGAAAAGGTAAATGCGCGCAATTTTAGGGTATGATAGTAGCCAATTTGGATTGTTACTATGTCCTCATAATTATTCAGTTACTTATATGCTTTAGAAAATGTTATTGAAGTAAGGAAGTGTAAGTAGAATCACCAAAAAAAAAAAAACTTTTCAAAACATAAAATAATAAAACATATACCCAAATATGGGAACAAATATATTACACGACAGCGACAGGTATTAAAGATGTATGCAAATTAGGCAGATTTCCACTAAATATCTAGCTGGGTAACCGTTTTTTTCGGATTCAGCACCCCCAAATTAGGTAAAAATAAATATTACCAGCTTGCTTCTCGAAAATGCCTCTTCATGTAATATTTTTTTAAATATCCCCTAGACTATCTTAAAAAAAGTAAACACAGTAGTGTCTTGAACAAAATAATCACGATACAAAGAAACAAATTTAGTTCCAAAAGTTTTAAAAGAAAACTTCAAACTGGAACTTCTTCAAGATTAACCTGACCAGAATCAACTTTTACTATAAGCAAACTGTCAAAGAATTCAAACTGGATTTACTTACTGAAAATAATTATGTACAAAATAAATGAAAAGAGGCACAATATTATACAAGAGAAATCCCACCGATGACTCCACGCGCAGTCAAATCCAAGCAAGAAAACACTCTCCAGGTAGGAGGAAAATATATACGACTATTGTTGACTATTGTCTGCCCGCTAAAACTAAAGAGTGGCTTGACCATGTGGCAACTTATATGTGGGACTTGTGAGCTAAAGTAAACAAACAGGGGGACAAACTACCAATAATGGGAAGGGGCATTTAACATTTCTTTTTCTAAGGGGAGCTACTCCTATTTACTACACTATAAAAATGTATAACTAAAACTTGGCACTGCCACACTTACAAGACAGAGTCTGGTATGCCAAAAGGGCCAAAGTTCTAGTTTGAGCAATTGTTAAATTTCACACAAAATTAAAAGGATAAATTTATTAAATTTGTTATATAGCAGATGGACAGCTTGAAGTGGTTTAATGAAATGTGTACTCAAGCTGAGATTAGCCCCAATTCCATGCTAACCGTAAGAAATATTCTGATAAGACATGTTGCTTCTGTTCAGTTATTCATAAGAGTGTGAAACTGTTTTTCATGCGGATGGGCGCAGCAAAGTAGCATGAAATTATTTCTTTCTAAGCACTCAGTACGATTCCTTGTGGCCCCTTTATAACGCTCCGTTGAGAATGTCAATTGAACATAAGAGTGTTCTCTTTCTTCAAAACGCGGGTTTTTACCCCCCCCCCAACCCCCCAAAGAAACCCCCCAAAAAACAACAAACAAATAGCCCCAACACCCCAACAAACAGCCCAACAAATAAACAAACGCATATAACACCCCCCCCCCCAAAAAAAAATCCCAAAAAATTAAATGGTCATGGTGGGCAGAATATCGTAAAATCCTCCAATGTCCATCACAATACTACTCCAAAGTTTTGTGAACACAGCCTTACAAAACCGTATCCGTACTAACTACATTAAGTTTAACTTTACCGATAATTTTTGAAAACTTGCCGGTGAATTCTACGGGAATTCGTTGCCGTGCTTATTAATTTCCATAAATTGTTAACAATGTTATTATTTTCTATTGTCAGCATTTCGTTCTAGCGTAGCCTTAAAATTTCCAAAGAATTGTATAAGAATACACATCAAATAAAAGTTTATTGTTTTTTTTGTTTTTTCTGTTTTTTTAGTTAACTTTAAAGAAACAAATCAAAATTACACGCAAATGTCAGGAAACAGTACCACAATATTATAGCGAGTCGGTGCTCCCACGAATTATCAGGCGTTGTTGATTGGCGCAGGCTCTTTCCTTTTCATTGGCCAAAACACCTGCAGAATCCTGTAAATACAATGGACGATCTCAAGTCAGTCATCTTGAATCGTTTCTCACACATGCAGAAGTATATTATATCTTAAGCTATGTTTTATATTTTACTATACACATGTGTAATAAATTGTAATAATATTTGAATGGAGTATGGTTACCAATACAAACACCTACTAAACTCGTTCAGTCGATCAAACACCATCATTTATTGGTGATAATTATACGTCCCTAAAACACCATACTTTGCACCACAGTATAGTCTATGCACAACAGTATCGTGTATTGCAATTGGTATTGGAAAAGTTGCAAAGGCCCTTCGATCCGTCAAACTGAAAAGAAGTCGCGTTACTTGACATTCTTACACTGTAATTCCAGCGGGAATAAGGGTGGCGCCAGAATACACGAAGAAGGTGAGTGGCGGTAGGAAAGATACGGTGGCCGCGTACAGACTAGTCGACACGAGGCAGAAGATGAAGGAGCAGCTTTGCATGCATGCAATCAATGAAAACATGGCACCTGTTAAAAAAAAGAGAGAGAAAGAGAGAAAAGAATAACAAATATCTAGTCGCCACTGATAGTCGGGGCAATTATACTCGGCCATTTTGAAAGGCATAGGCGAGTACTTCATCCAGAAAAAAACATTTGCCTTTCCTGCTTACGTTTACAAACGTCGGTGGCACGCGCACCCGGTCCTACTTGTGCTTAGTTTTCCAACTCTCTCATTTCCAAAGTGAAAATTCGCTCTGTCCGATTAAATTTCCAGCTCATTGAAAAAAAGGTAAAAGACGACAGCAAGTGACATTCTCTTAAATCGAATGTCTCAATTTAGTAAAAAGGCGACTCTATTTAAAAGTATTACAATCTAAAATAAGAACGTTTTTTCCTGCTCTAAATCGTTGTGTTCCTAGCTAGTTTCATTCCTTGCAAATTCGAAAGAACGTCTGCAAACGTTAAAGCAGTATTCGCACAGAAAAGCAGTAAACGCAGCCCGCGGTTCAATTCTTTTTTTCAAGGGCAATTTGGAATCTTTCCTAAATGAACGTTATTGTCAGAAGTTACTGGTATGAATGAATTCTTAAGGCAACTGGTCACGGCTGTATACATACTATTTAATACATCTTACAAAGAAGTTTTTTTAGCCTGATTGCTACTACTCTTACCAGTCTCTTCTGGTCGTGCTATCTTAGAGAGGACCGACCTTGCAACAGAGAGGGACATCAGCTGAAGACAGCCCACCACAGTTCCTGACAAATCAAAAGACGAACAAAAATATGCTTCAAACTGCTTACTGACTGGATTGACCCCACATAATATACAAACCATTAAAGAGGGTCTTCCATCCTAGCAAAATCTTCATCGAAGACCTTTGATGAAGATCCATCTGAAGATCCTGCTATGTGATAACAAACTTCAGGTTCTGTAACTTGTTTAAAAGAAAGACGTGTAATTTATAAGAGACAACGTTTCAGAACCGTGAATGTCAAGAGTCAAAATCACAAGTTAGCTAGGCTCACTTGGGCTATTCATAGGTTTCAGGTTTCTCTTATCTATCAAAAAGAGGAAAGGTAAAGATCCTTGGGCTTTCTATTAGTGTTCATAATTGTAAACAATGCTGTAGTATATATCCTACAGCTCTCGAACTCCGGTCCATTTTTGGTCCTCGTATACTCATACTCATGAAAATGTACTCGTACTCGTACTCGCAAGAAAACGATTACCCGTACTCACATCACAAAGTACTCGTGCCCCATTTAATATTCTCCTGCAAAAAAGTTAAAATGTTTAACAGATGTATGTAGGAAAAGAACACTACTGTTTGGGAGGCTTCTGCATTTGTTTTGACAGCAAAAGGCCCTTGCTAACACGTGAACAATTGAAAGTTGCTCCTGTTTGTGGAAAGTATTTGTATATACTCGTACTCGAGTTCAATTTTTGGGTACTCGTTCTCGCACTCATGGGAAAAAATTGCCTGACGTACTCATATGGCAAGGTATTCGTGGAAATGTACTCAATACAACACTGATTGTACAGCTTTATAGATGAAGAAAAAATAAATTGCCGCAATTTAGGTTTTGCTAAATGCAATGTTTTGACAAACCAATGAAGAGTTCCGCAGTAGTATCCGCTAATCCCATGATGAGGTAGGAGGCCATGAAACTGAGGCAGCTTATCTGCATCAGCCAGTAGTCTCCCAGACACAATGAGAAGAGTTTGGTACCAACCAGCATCCCTGTAAATTAAAAAAAAAGAGGAAAATCTAGAACAAAAAATAAAACAACAGAAAGCATCTCCTGGTAGAGAGAAACAAAAGTGACATAAAGGCTCACCAAAGAACACTGCAATGAGGTTAGACTTAATCAAACCAAATACCTAAACGATCGTGCAATATAAGGCTCTGTACATTATTCAGATGCTGGACTAAGGACAAGCAATATATAAGTTGACGTAAACCTTAACAGAAAAGTGTATTCACAAAAGAGGATAGTTCTACTGTAAACCTAATACCTGTATAGTACTCACCAATAGAATAAAAGATCCAAATGAGTGCCAAAGCAATTCCAGCCGTTTGGCACCCCCAGTAGAAGGGATGGTCCGTTCCGTACAGCACGTAGATTGCCGTGACGCCGATGAATTCTCCCACGCAGAATAATACGTACAAAATCAGGAGAAACATCTGCCAACGCCGTCCATTCTCGTTGAACACGACAAGCTCTTTCATGCTTTGGAAGACTTCCATGAGACCCTTGTGGTCAGTGGAACTTTTTTCGACGGTCTCGATCAGGCAGGGTGGGATAGCAAGGTAGTACAGGGCGACCATGTTACTCCCAAGCGCAACCACCAAGGTCGGGATGTAACCGAATTGGATGAGATACCCTTGTCCTAGTTGATTCAACCCTCCACCCAGATACTGCAGCATGTCAGCGACCACCATTCTGATTGTTCGTTGTTTCTCGGTGGTTGCGTCAGCCAGATAAGCGTGTGTGGCAGCGTACAGTAGCCCATAGCCTCCAGCCAGCCCCTGCAGGACTTCGCCCGTGAAGAGGACGGCCAGGGGAAGCTTGAAGATAACCGTGAAGAGGTACACTGCAGCTTGAAACGCGAAGGCAAGGAGCGGGATAGCCATTGCTAGTTTCCTGCCAAATCTATCGCTGGTGGATCCAAAGAAGATGGTACTCAGACTAGCAGGGATACCAGAGGCAGCGGCGAGGTACAACAACCAGACGGAAGACTCTGCTTGTATCTTGTTGCTGAGCTGTTCATTGCGGTATTGGTCGTCCAAGCATTCGGTGTCGTCACCACTCACGGTGTAGTTGTAAAACTCGCTGATGAATTCTTTCACGTAGAGCGGCCTGACGAGGGCCGTGCAGGTGTTGCCGATCATCGACAATATGATGATGGGCTCTACGGTTACCCATCTAGATTGTGCTCGCTGGCGACCCGTCGACTCAGCAAGGTCGTCGGATGATTCCGAGCGGAACAGTGAATTGAATTCTTCGCTCTTGGTCATATCGTCTTGGCAGATGTGAGTTCTATATAAAATGCATCACATTAAAAAATCTACATGAGTACAACTGCTTAACGTGGTTACTGATACTCGATACCTTCCTTGTTCTCAAAAGTAATACTTAGACAGAACGTTACCACCCAAGGTTACTTTATACATTACCGCTATACTTTAAAGTGCAAAGGTGCGGGTGCGCAAACCTTACCATCTTTAAAGTGGACCTGAAAAAACAACAGGTCCACACTATGCAGTTTGTGTGAACCTCCTGTGGACTAAGCCATGTCCACACAAGGTTTCCTTCTCTCTGGAAAACAGGTTTAGAGGCATTTTTGAATTAGGGTTATTTGTTGCATAATGAAGAGGAACACTCAAGGAAATGGGGTCGTATCATAAGTCCGACGCCCAATAGGTCCGACGCCTCATAAGTCCGACGCCTCATAGTTCCGACGTCGGAAAAACAAGGCATTTATTTTGTCGGACTTATGAGGCGTCGGACTTATGGGCCTTTATTTGATTAGGGGATGCGATTTTGTCGGACTATGAGGCGTCGGACCTATGAGGTGTCGGACTTATGAGCGGACCCCAAGGAAATCATGATAAAAACTTTGGGTTGAAAGAGTGTTCACAGTGCGAGTAAAATGAGGTTTTTTTTCTCCGGTTTTTCTTAACTAAACGAAAACAAAGGAATGTCCACACTAGGCAGTGGCGGGAAAGAATGTAGTATCCAGACACCACTGCAACGGTTGTGTACAAAGTCTATGGAGAGTCAAGAACATTTTCTAAGTATTTCGTAACAAAATTGGAAATGTTCCTCAGTCCCAGATTCATGTCCTTTCAACATTTTTTTGCTGTGACTGACCTCTACTGAGATGATATATTATGAAGAAAAAAGTGGCGTCAGGATGCAACATTCTTTCCCAGTAGCGCAACAACAATTTTTTTTTTGGGGGGGGGGGGGGGGTTTAAGACGTGAAAAAAAGCCACTCGCCCATTGGTGCTGAAAAGTATAAAGACATGGTTTTATCCACCGGTCACCTGGCCATCGAAAAATTTAGAAACGGAGGGGAAGGGGGGAACAACATCTTCCTACGTGGGCGTTCGCTCGTACCCCCAGCCATGCAAATAGGGAAGTAGTCTATGTAATAGACCCATGGCGAATGCCATGGGTCTATGATATGTGAGCAGATTCGCTGATTAATTAGGCAAGACCCCTCTTTACCTCCGAAATTTTGACCAATCAGTGGGCCCTTTCTACATCGGGTCTTCGGTCATTCACCCGTTGCGCGTCATAGAAAATGGATTAAAAAACCTGCGTCACGTGCTCTGTATCATGTTACGCGATAATGCACCCGGCTTGTTGCTGCATTATATAACACTTCATTCGAATTGACCAATCAAACCATTTATTCCTGTTTGGGAATGAACTGGAATGAGTGGACTCCCGATTGGCTGGTGCGCGGCTTGCATATTTGTAAATGTCTACATATCAGACGATAAACAGGAGTCTTGCTCCGTGGATAACGGGCGATACTCAGACTAACAGGGTAGGGGTACAAGCGAAACTGTTCAACCCGGACGATTATGGGCACCATCGGACAATGGGTGGCGTTTTTCATGGCGGCACAATTGCCGACAATCCAAAAATGAGAACTCGTTAAAAAAGGCGCTCGTTAAAGTAAAGGGCACTTGTCAAAAAAGAGCACTGTCAACAAAATATTGTAAACCTCCTTACTCCCCCATAGTCTGAGTATCACCCCGTTATCCATAGAGCCCAGTCTCCGTATACCGTGTTTTTTTTTATCTCACGATTTGACCTTGGTGATAGTAGTATAATAGGGGTGTAAGTGCATGGTGCCACCAACGTCAAAATAGTCCCCCCCCCAAAAAAAAAAAAAAAAAAAAAAAAAAAATTCTGCAACCAAAATGTTCGCCCATTTTTTTGAAAAACAATTTGCAACTTCTAAAAATTTTGAACTTTTTTTATGAGCCCCCCAAAGCTAAATCCTGAGTGCGCCACTACTGCCTCTATAGACCATGACGTCGCCATGATCCATGGATATACTAACCCCCTCCCCCGCTGGCTACAACACTGCTAGTATATTGTGGGCATGGGTGCGTGTACAAACACTGCCTTGTGGGGTACCGGAACAATGGGAGATACCCCACAAGGAATGCCCACCGACTTGCGGGGTACCATTTTGGTACCCCACAAGTTTTTTACGAAATAGATATATGGCTTTTACTCAAAAACTAGGAATTTCCAAGGTGGGTTGATCCGTCGCAAATGGAAGAGTATTAGAAAAGGGATATTAAGTCCGAATTTCAGCCCAGGAAATTAACTATGGTTAAAATAAGAGCATTTTGACATAAGTGTGCGACGTTGCAAAATTTTAGTACACGAGAACAAAGGAAGTACCCCACTTTTATGCCTATGTAAGCGTAAGTGTGTGTTCACGAGTTGACAGTTCACTGATCACCCGCAAAGCGGGTGAAAGGCAGCGAAGCGAGGCGAAACCGCCGGTCTGGCTTCAACTCTAAACGCACGGGATTTGTTTAGTTACAGAATAATGCATCAATTCCACCACCATGTAGCCATTAAGACTGGGACCCTGAGTGCACAGAAAAAGCCCAACAGCATGGAAAACACTACATGTATCAGGTCAACTTTACTCACTCTGTAGCAGACACAATTCTCCACAATTTTCATGAGGCAAAGACTAAGTCAGTAGTATTTCACCAGCGATGTTTGAGGTACGTGTCAAACGGAACTTTACTTCAACTTTTGCACCTGAGGTGTGAAGCGAAGTGATTTCAATTTGAAGCCTATGACTTGACTGGTACATGCAAGGCCGGACCCAGAACACAAGTTCTTTTTTTAGGGGGGGGGGGCGGGGGAGGGGGCGTGCAACTTTTTTTGTTCTCCGTAAAGGTGGTTCAAAAAATGTTCCGCCCAAATTTAATAAGAAATGCAAGCAGGGGACCAATGTGTTGCTATTGTTGAGTTTAGTGGGTGGTGAACGCATTGGCCGCTTTTTTGCGTCGTCGTTATATTAAAACAAAATTGGGTTCTGTTTTAGGGGGGATGGTCCCCGTTGCCCCTCCCCCTGGATCTGCCGTTGGGTACATGACTTCTTGTCCACCTTTTTGAAAAAAACCAAGTAACCATTCAGTGGTCTGCACGGTGGCATGAATATTGAAATGTGTAGAAATAGATACTGCATGGTGTCAGATGTTTTTTTTGTCACAGTTGATTGACGCACTACTAAAAGGGGTGAATGTTTCATGACTGTGTCACTCTTTTGTCTGGCGTTGCATGTTTGAATGATACGTTCTGGGACTCTCATACTTACTTTACTTTACTTTCATCTCATAGCAATACAAAAATATTCTCTAAATCATAAGAATGAAACCAGGCACCAGACGATTAAGAGTGTAAATCACTCCATCCAATTTTAGATTGAAATACTCTGAAAAAAACCCAGAACCACTTTAGTTGAAGCTCGAGTGAAAACTCGGTCTTTTCGAGTGAACGAATTTCACTCTAAAACTTCTAGTTGAGTCGGTGGTAGTGCACTCGAATGGAGTGAATTGTATACAAAGAATGGTTGTAATTGTTTTAATATGTTATAACGACTAAGATAAATTAACAATTATTTATAATATTAATATAGGTTTTCCTGGCCAATTTCCTAAAATGATCATTCACTTCTGAAAATCGGCTATCCATTTTCGTCTGAATTTGAGAATCGCTCTGAACACGCGTTTCATTTTCACTACCAGGGCATTCGATTCCATTTCAGTTCAATCAATTAAGTGATTGAGCAGCACATTTCGTTTATGCTCATTCAGATTCGTTTACAAGACTGCTTTCCGCTTCTAGAGGGCGATTTCAAAAATTGGTCATTTTATTTCACTGTTAGTTTAATGTTATGTGATGCAATCTGCTATTTTGAATGGAAAAAAAAACCCGTACTTTTAATTGCACATTCACGAAATTGTATGCTAGAACTCTGCGCGAAAAGGTATGTTTGCGTAAATGAATGCACAGGTAACGTAATTGGCCGTCTGTTTCTCAAAACCGACGGCACGGACAATGAAAACGATTGAACTTTCGTTGAACTGAAATGGGATTAAAGACGTGCATTCAAATTCAGACGAAAACGAATGACCGATTTTCAGAAGTGAATGAACATTTTAGGAAATTGGCCGGGCAAACCTATAACCCGGCAGGTTATAGGCCTATGCGTTACCGCCTCATCCATTGTCGGATGAGACTTGATGACATGGGCTCCGAGGTTGGGCAGCAGCTATCCTCTTATAAACGCCTCCATTCTCTCCTCTTGCGATCGCTTTAACTGACAACACAGTTTCTCTAGGTATCTTTCGACTGCTTCATTAAGCTGTTGTTTCCTGTCGGCCAGCTCCGACAATCGCACCCATCGCTTGCCTTCGTGTGGCCCATATTTCTTGAGGAAAGCCTGTTTTAGTGCCGCAAAGGCCGCCTGTTGTTGCTGTAGGCAAGTCTCTGTATACCAGCCAGTCATGGAGGTAGAATTAGAATTTCTAATTCTACCTCCATGGTACCAGTAACTGGCAGAACTAGCGAGGTAAAGGGGGAAATTGCTGGCTTGTTGCACGGCCGTCAATGTTTTCTGGAGAGCATATCTCTCGTATACCGGTCGATCCATAACTCAGGATCTTCCGAGTACGGTATTCGGTAAACTTTGGAAGGATGGAGTCGATATGCGCGGTAGCCTACACGCCATGGTTGATGAAAATTGTTGTTTCGACTTCGAACGCGTGAACTCAATGCTGAGAGGGGTATCCGGATTCTCCACCAAATATAACCCGGCAGGTTATATTAACAAACTAGGAAGACAGTAAGAGACGAAGTTGTACTTGCTGATGTGGTTTATTCGGTTGGCTGTGATGCTCTCTGTCTGATTTCTAGATTAACACTGGGTTTTTATACAGTAAATGGACATTCCAATCTTACAGCTATCTTACAGGTTTTCTTGCCTTATT